ATATAGAGGAGTCACAGGTAACTGAGATGGGAAAAACTGAAAGAAAATTTTTGAATACTATCAAGAGCTCAGTTTTAGGCCTCTTAGTTTTGAGAGGCTTATTACATAACATTGAGAAAATGTCAAGTAAGCAGTTCAATATATGGACTGGGAGTTTAGAGACGAGGTTCAGGCTACAGATATGATTTGGTAGTCATCAATGTATGGTTCTTAAAGCCATAAAACTGAATCAGATGACCTGTCAAGTACAGGTAGGGCAAAAAGAGAAAGATTGAGCATGGGAAATTCCAACCTTTGGAAGTCAAGGAGATGAAGAGCAATCAGCAAAAGAAACAAAGAGAGCGATCAGAATGATAGGAGTAAAACTTGGCAAGTATGATACTCAGTAAGCCAAATGAAGCAAGTTTGGTTTATTGGTTGTTTGTAGAGTGTTGTTTGTTTCTAGAGCAGAGTAAACAACTGTGTTTAGTGAGCAACGCTTATAGATCAAGAAGGATAAGATCTAAGAAATGACCACTGGATTTAGCAGTGTGTAGAGGTCACTGATGACCTCAAGAAGGGCAATTTCAGAAAAACAATTGGGATACAAATCTGATTGGAATATTCTAAACAGAATATGGGAGAAGAAAATTGGAGACAATGAATATAAATCACCATTTCCAAGAGTTTTGCTATTAACAGAAAGAAATGAAATGGTAGTCAAAGAAGAAAGTGAAGAGAATTTTTAAAAATTATTTTATTTGCTTTTGGTTTTTTAAACAAAAGGTAAATAATCATATTTGTATATACTGATGAGAAAGGCTCAGTAAAGTACATGAAAGGCAGATTTACTTCCCAAGAGAGAGGTTAGCTTAACCAAGACTCACAGATACAGTTAGGATTAATAGACATGGGAAACCTCTATTATTTGGTTCATTTTTTTTCCCCAATGACATTAAGAAGCAAGGTCACCATTTAAGAATAAAAGTGGGGGCTGGGCACGGTGGCTCACGCCCATAATCCCAGCACTTTGGGAGACCAAGGTGGGCGGATCACGAAGTCACGAGATCAAGACCATCCTGGATAACACGGTGAAACCATGTATCTATTAATAAATAAATAAATAAATAAATAATTAGCTGGGCGTGGTGGCGGGCGCCTGTACTCCCAGCTACTCAGGAGGCTGAGGCAGGAGAATGGAGTGAACCCGGGAGGCGGAGCTTGCAGGGAGCCGAGATCACACCACTGCACTCCAGCCTGGGCGACAGAGCAAGACTCCGTCTCAAAAAAAAAAAAAAAAAGGAAGGATTCAAGGTGACAGGAAATAGGAGAAAGCACGGAGTCAAAGATTTACTGGAGTAAAGCAGAAGAGAAAGTGAGCTTGAACAGTAGGAGAAGTGGTGCGTTTTGGAAATCAAGGGAAGATAGTGCCTCAACGAAGAAGTGGTCAGGTATGCCAAGCATTGCTGAAAAGCTAAAATGAGAACTGAAAAGGCCTACTGGATTTAGTAACTAGGAGGTAACTAGTGACCCTAACAAGAACTACCCTGTGGACTGATGGGATCAGAAGTCAGGTAGGAGCACTCTTTGGAGTGCATGGGAGATGAAGAAATAAGAATAATTATGTCTCTCTCTTTAGAAGCTTGGCTATGGAGGGTGAGGGGAATGCCTCTGGCAAGAAGCCAGGACAAATACTGGGATCAACCCTTCTCCCTACTGTGGTTCTCCAAAGCATGCCAGAGATAGGACCCTATCTTCATGTGGATAGGGTTTTCCTGTCTTCATGTGGAAAAATAGGGAGTTTTCCTGTCTTCATGTAGAAAAATAGGGAGTCTGGGGGGAAAAGGTAAGATGTAATAGGGAAGTACAAATAGCCACGTGGTCAAGTGAGGAAAATTAGGGACACAAACCAAAGGAAGCAAAAAAGGTATTTCTGTCTGAGAAGGTATTTAGTGACATGGAGGAAGATGAAGATGAAAATGAATCCAAGAAAACCATCACATTAGAGGGGACCTCCATCAACACACAGAACCCCTGAGAACAAGAATGAGATAAAGAATCAACAATTGCTCAGTGAAGCCGCACACTCCCAAGCTCCAGTACTTTTCCCTCCTCCCATTCCCCAACATAGAAAAATTAAGGCCGAAAATGAATTAAATTCACGGTTCTCAAACTGTGCTAAGGTGCTCCAGCTACCCTTGCCACCTTATAGAGGTACTATGGGATATTTTAAATATTTGAGGGAAACATAGCAATACTCACTGTTTACCAGACACTACCTGAACTACTAGCTTGAGATGTTTCTCAATTTGAACATTAGATACTGTTTAATTCCTTTTAAGAATGTCATGTCTTTGAAAAGCTGGGTTTTCGGCTGCTGCTCTCATATAAAACATTTGGGAGGCCAAGGTGGGTGGATCATGAGACCATCCTGGCTAACACGGTGGTTTTCTTGGAAAACCGGAGTAGAATAGGAAATAAGGTGGCATCAAGGGGTGCTAGAAAAAACTGCTGAGACAATAAAGGCACCAATAACTGAAAAAGTTTGGGAACTTCTGGGCTAAAGAGAAGGGAATGAGAAAGGTGCTTCTCAGATACAACCACACACACCTACACTCAGACACAGAAAAGATTAAAGTGTACTACATATTCCTGCAATCCTTTAGGTCAAGCCTGATATGAGGGGAGCGTAAGAGGAGACACCTTAATGGAATTTGAACTTGACATCTCAAACCAACTGTACTGATAGCAACTGAAAGTGACTAGAAAATTATGACCTCTACCTGACATATTGTCATGGAAAGGATAAGGTAGATTTCATTTAGTACAACTAAAAGCAATTAAGTGGAGAGAAAATAAAATTCTGTCATGTATTCCACTCAGTCATGATACCTGAATTACAGTAGATAATGACCATTAAACTCTGATAGCCCCTGTAGTAATTCCTAACTGTAGGAGATAGTGGTAAATATAAAAGTGAATTCCTTCATGCATTCATTTATTGAATAGATATTTACAGAATGTGCACTATGTGTGGAACATTTCACTAAACATAAGAGTTACAGGGAGGATGTGAGGGTGATTTTGCTGTGGTACCTGTCACCAACTAATCCCAATAGTTGATTTGGCTTATCTGGCTAACTAGCTGGGTTCCCCTTCCTTCCTAACTGCCCCATATATGTCTCTTCCAAAGCTGCACACTCTGCTGAGGAGGATGACTTTCCCCCATAGAGGAGGATGATTCTTCCGCAAGGCCATACGCGCAGCAGTGTTCCCTTGCTAGAAGCTCCAAACAAGTCCTCAAAGAACACACACAAAAAGTCGGTGAAGGACAGTGTTTAAAACAGCATGACCACTCCAATCAGTTTATATCACTACCCTATTTTTTCCAAAGCATTTATTATTCTCTGAAAGAACTTTATTTACATGTTTATTCTGTTTTAATTTCAGAAAGTAAGCATTGAGAGGGCAGGAATTGTCTTGTTGTTCCTCGCCTCAACTTCTCAACATCTGCATGTCCCAAGACGCTATTCTGGGCACTATTCTATCTATACCCTTTGTCATTCTTCGGATATAAATAGGTTAATGCCATACCTAGTGGTGACCTTTCACAAGAATGCCAAACATACACATTCAACTTCCTACTTGAAACAGGGATACTGAATAGATACCTTAAACTTAATGTATGTTCTTCTATTTCCAATGTCCCACTACAGTTTCTAACCTAGTTACACTTGGTCAGTCTTCTCACATTCAGTAAATGGCATCATCATCTACAGATGGATAATATGGAGCTTAAGCCAAAAATCCAGAATTCATCCTTGCTTACTGTTCTTCGTCTGCAAGTTCCTATCAATCCTACTTTCAAAACAAGTATCAACTCCAGTTCCTTCTCTACATGTCCACTTTCACCGAACTATTTCTGGCAATGTTTTCTCCAGACTTCTACAGTAGTCCAACTGGCCTTTCCGCTTCTATTTTTCGTGTTGCAACCAGAGAAATTTTCATACCTAAACTTTGAGTCTCTCCTATTTAAATAATTTGTCAGTTTCTAAACGTTCTTCAAATACATAGGGCTCCTAACAAACCTACAGCGTCTACATGGTCTGGCTCTGCCTATCTGGTATTTTGGTGTGTGTGTTTTTGGGGGGAAGGTTCTTCTCATGTTTGTCTTCTAAGTTTTCATTAGTATCTGTCCCTCTCCTCCCCAACCAATGCTGGATGACAGCAGAACATTGGTATACAGCTTACTGCTGTATCTCTAACATTTATTTAAGTGGCCAAAAAGAGCTGTAAGAGGAACTCTGGTTCTCCAGACTGTAGCAGCTACATCTAGAATAAAACCTCTCTTTAGAATTCTCAACACCTTCTCTGTATGGGGTGAGGGGTACATTTCTGACCCTCCGGAGATGATCTCTACCTCACTCCATTCAGAATCTACGCAGAACGGTGGATTAGAATGTAGACCCCAAGTCAGAACACCAAGGGTCAAATCCTAGTTCTTCCATTTTATAGCTGTGTGACTTAACCTCTTTGTACAACAGTGTCCTCAGTTGTAAAATAAGGAGAAAAGTACCTACACCTACACACACACACACACACACACAATAATTTATTTATTAGGCGACCTCTTCCTAGAGGCTGCCATTTCTGTGAAATGAACCCTGGCGGGTGCCTATCCCTCGGCTAAATGCCTACTGATTCAAGAAAAAAGTCTCAACTTTTGCCCTTTAAACTGAGTTATCCTCCCCATGGTGTCTAATAAGTTGACTGAAGAACTGGTTATTTTTAGATTTTACCATCTAAAGACTTTAAGAACATACCCGGTATTTCCACATCCAAGTTGTCCTACTTGATATTCAAGCCAATTCACTTTCCCAAAGCCAGGGATTAACAGCCCCGCGAGCAGCTTCTGACTGCACTCGCCGCCGCGCCCCGCCTTGCGCCCGCCCCGCCTTGCGCCCGCCCCGCCTTGCGCCCGCCCCGCCCCGTCCCGCCCCGCCCCGCGACGGTCCCAGCCCGCACATGCGCAGTCGTGAGTCCTCGTGTCCTTGAGCATCCAGCTTCTTTCCCTCAAGTGGCTGGGGTTCCTGTTTCCTTCTTCGATTGACAACTTGTGGTAACCCTCGCACTTCTCTGGGCCAGTTTTTGCTTTTAAGTCTTTCCGGAGCTACCTGGAATTTAAATCATTTTGCTTTACTGTCATTAGCACCGCGCCCTTCCCCAAGAGCCTCCGAAGGGTTTGCGGCTTTTCCGTGGCGCAGTTCTCGCGAGAAGGTGACTTTCTGCTCGGTATTTCCTGGTTTCCAGAATCCTTAGCGCGAGGCGGAAAAAATATCCCAGCTTGTGTTGATGCTGCGATTTTGACTGAGACTTCCCACTATTTTTGTTTTGCTTCTCCAAGGAAAATGGCAGCTCCCGAGCAGCCGCTTGCGATATCAAGGGGATGCACGAGCTCCTCCTCGCTTTCCCCGCCTCGGGGCGACCGAACCCTTCTGGTCAGGCACCTGCCGGCTGAGCTTACCGCTGAGGAGAAAGAGGACTTGCTGAAGTACTTCGGGGCGCAGTCCGTGCGCGTCCTGTCAGATAAGGGGCGACTGGTAAGGGCGCGCCCCGCCGGAGTCTCCCGGGAAGGCCTTTGGCAAGCGACCGGGGAGGGGGAGCGCTGACAGGAGTAAGGCGGAAACGAGTGGGGAAGATGCACTTGTGTGAGGGAGCTCCCCCATCCTACCTCTTTTGTATCAGAATATCTGCTCTGCGAAGTGGAGTTTTAATCGGCTTGAGTCTGGATTAGTCATAGCACTGCAGAAAGGGCAATCGTGAACGACAAAGCAGAAGAATGGAAATTAGCTTAGTTATATTGAGTTTTCAGATCCATCCTGAGAGCCTCACAACTTTTTTGAATTTGGGGTTATTGCTTCTGGACTCAGCGTATTCTTACAAATGTGCATCAAGGGATTTTTAAAAGTCCTAGTTCATTTATAAGCCAATGTTAAATCGTTGATCAAAATAGAGAAGCTGCATTGGTGACTTGAGAATTAAATGCAGAATTTCAACTAGAAAAGGAGGCTTTTCATAAAAATTTCCCGATGGCATCTTTTAGGGAACATTTTTTTAGGACTGTTAAAAATACCTACGTAGGAATTTACACAATTACTTTGTTTTGCTTTATATCCAAAGATGTTTTGATTTCTCTTCATTAAAATAGGAATAGCGATGGGGCAAGACATCAGTGGTTTAAAAGTTTCACCAGGTGATTTTAATGTTAATGTGCAGCCCATGCTGAGAGTTACTGAATTATAAGAAAGGCCAATTTTGATCAGTTTAAGTGTCATTTATAGCCTCAAATTTAAAAAAAAAAAAATTATGGCTCAATTTAAGTGCGTTAGGTCATCGTGGATCAGATTAGACAAAATTAGAGTGTGCAATATAATTATTGAAGTAACTTTTAATAAGCACTGACCAGAGCTCTTCTTTAGCATAGTGTTTCTTTTACCGTTGACTTGTGTTTCTTTTCTGATGGTTTTTAAAATCTTTATAATTTACGTTTAAAAGTATGCTTCTCCCATTGAACATTATTACAGAGATAAAGCACAAAGGAAATATGCAGCTTGAAGAACGATTTCTCTGTTGGTGAATGTTTTTAAACTGTGCATTGTTATGTATAGAGGAAAGTTTAAAATCTTTAGGTCTGTCATAAATGAAAGAAATAAATTTTTAGTTGGTTGAAAGTGACCCTCTGTGTAGAAGAGGTCTTTAAACTTTTGGTCTTTTGAACTATTTGCATGTGTAAAACGTGTGTCTTTATATGATAGAGATTGCATAGCTTTCATCTCAAGTCTGCCTCAAAAAATGTTGAAAACCACTGGACTGAAATTAGTGATCAGTTAAATGGTTTTGACTTTTCATACTTTCCCATGATGTTATTAACATGTCACATTACTCCACTGGTAAAATGTCAGATTTCTTTATGAGAAACTGAAATTATATTGGAAGTAATTTGTACCTTAACTCTGTTTCAGAAACATACAGCTTTTGCCACATTCCCTAACGAAAAAGCAGCTATAAAGGTATGACTTTTTCTTGACTATTAAAGTTGTCAAAAGTATCCTCTTATCCAGTCTTGGTTCAGATAATGTTAAACTGTGGTTTTTAAGAAGCAAAAGCATTTGTATTGCAACAGTTTCCCCAACAGACTACATTTGATTTGTTAGTTGGTAGATATTGCCCAGTCCTTTAGTAAATTATCTGTAAACCAAAACTAACTGCATATGTAATTAAAATAATTTCTAAATGATTTAGATTGATAAATATCTCTGTGACTGTTACAAGGTAAGATGTTTCAAGTGTTAAAAGGAGAATATACATTTCTTTAAAATGCCAGGGAATCATTCACAAAGGAAGTGATCTTTTAGCTAGAAGTCTAATGATAATTGGATTTTTTCAACAGGAAACAAGGTGAGATGGGCCTTCGGGGCTTGGGGAACACCAAATAAAGCTGGGAGTCATTGCAAGTTATAAGTGGAGCAGGAGCTAAGGGTTGAGATGGAAGTGGGACTTGAAAAATAGATTGAGTCTGGGAGAGAGGTATTGAGTTTGGTTTAGTAGGTGTGCACTTGATACTTTTGAGCTGGCTCATAATATAATCAGGCCTGTGAAAGATATCTGGTATAGCTCGTATCATGGATGGATTGGATGCGCAGAATTATTACAGGTAGGAGACCAAATGGAAGGCTGTTATAATGGCCAAGGCAAGAATAACTATCTGAAGAAGACAGTAAGAAGACAAAGGAGGAAGTAGATATATACTTAATAGAGATTGAGTTTGTAGGTTTTATAATATAGGGGTTGAGAGAGACGGGTTCAGGATATTTGGATTGAGGATTGAGTTATTTGGGTTGTTATATTAGCTGACATGAGGATCCAGAGAATGTTTGCAAAAGTATATGATGAATTCAAATGTCATCTGTTAACTTGGAGGGGTCCCTGGGCTACTTTTGTGGAAATATTTAAAAATATCAGTCTAGAGCTGAGGCATGGTGAAGAATGGAAAGATTCTTCAGTCATGTAAATAGATATGATTGCCCAAAGGATAATAAGCTAGGAGAGAAGAATGGGAAGGAGCAGTTAAAGTAGGAGAACTAGAAAGGAAATTATCACTGATGCAAAGAGAAGTGTGTTTTAAGAAGATGAAATCCTGTGATGATGCAAAATGAGGAATGAACACTTCTATTAAAGTCTTTTTGCCATGAAACAATAGAAATGACCCAAATTTTCATTGGTAAAAGGAAGGGAAACCTTAAATCACATTATGTCCATATACTGGACTGCAGCTGTCTGAGAATGATATCAAGTGGTGTGTGTTAATAGAGAATGATAGCCCAGAGTACATGAATAAAGTTGTGAAACATTATGATGTAACCTCAGATTTTTTGAAACTAATAGTGTACATGTTAGCATATGCACAGGAAAAAAATATGACAGAACTATACACCAAAATGTTAAAAACATCTTTCTCTGAGAGTAGGATTACAGAGGGCTTTCATATTATATTAATATGTACTTTTATAATGATAGGTAATTTTTTTTTTTCAGAAAAAAAGTCTTTTTAAAAATATAGCATAATACATTATAAATAAAGTATGGGAATGAAAAACACATTGTTTTAGGGTCAAAAATAACTTGGAGGAGAGCACATGGAGCCAGTCATTGTCTTTGGAAATGTTTGTAGTGAAAGGAAGCAGTAAGAGGTTAATGGCAGTATTGATAGGGCTTTTAGGCTAGAGAACATTTGGCCTTATTGGAAAGTGATAGATTAAGAAAACAAAGGGAGAAATGTTCAAGAATAGAGTAAGTAGCCAAGTTAGGTAGGAGGCGTTAACATTAAAAGTGAAAAGCTATAAATCTTTGAGAATAAGAACTTATGTGATACCCATTTTGAGAGGAAGAAAGTTGGAGTAAGTCAGGTTAGATGACCTTCATTTCATATAATCAAGCTTCACTGATAATGAAGAGGTCTAACATTCATTTAGGGTCTTGAAAATTATTGAAACATTTTAAAACTAACTTTGTATGATGATGTAAGGCAGGGATCCTCAAACCCCGGGACACGGACTGGTACCCAGACACAGCCTGGTACCCAGCCACGCCCTGTTAGAAGCTGGGCCGCACAGCAGGGTCTGTGGGGATGAGGGGTACATTTCTGACCCCTCAGGCTGCCTGAGCTCTACCTCCAATCAGATCAGCAGTGCCTTGGCCACTGTTCTGATCTGCACATGCAAGGGATCTAGGTTGCACTCTCAATGAGAATCTGACTAATGTCTTATGGTCCGAGGTGAATCAGTTTCATCTCGAAACTATCTCCCCACCCCCTACCCCGGCCTGTGGAAAAATTGTCTTACACAAAACCGGTCCCTGGTTAAGGCTTGTAGTTTCATGTGTTGTAAAATATTAAGTGCCTACTATGTGCTAGATGCTGTTTTAGGTTTTGGAATTATATGTGAACAAAAACAAACATAATTATAGTTTGTAGTCTCAAAAAGGGAGACAGAAAATAATCTTTAATATTTTAGAAGACGATAAATGCTATGGAAAAAGGACAAGTAGAGCAATAAGATCGGGAGTGCTAAGTGGGGAGAGGTCAGGCTGTAGTTAGGGTTATAGTTGAACAACAATTTGAAGGATACGAAGGGAGTTAGCTAATGAAATTTCTGGGAGAAGTATGTTTGAATTAGAGGAGCAGCTGGATCAGGGGCTCTAGGATGTGACCATGCCTGTCATGTTGTTCAAGGAAACCACTGTGACTGGAGCATACATAGTGGGAGTGATCTGTGGGAGCAGGGGTGGGAGTGAGCATTGGATCTGAAGTCAGAGAAGTCATAGAATCTATATTATGTAGATTATAGTAAGGAATTTAGATTACTGTCAGTAAAATAGGGAGCCATTGGAACAAGGGGGTGACCTGATCTGACATATTTCAAAGGATTGCTTTCTCTGTTGTGACTAGACTGAAGGGAGGGAAGGTAGAAACAAGGAAATCCATTAAAATGTTGTGGTAATTCAGTCCAGAATTGATGGTTGCCTTGACCACAATGGTAGTGGTTAGCGGTGATTAGATTCTTTATATAGTTCGAAGATAGAAGCAAGGATTTCTTATTGTATTTATTCCAATAGGTTTTGGGGGAGCAGGTGGTGTTTAGTTACATAAGTTCTTTAGTTATGATTTCTGAGATTTTGATGTACCTGTCACCCAAGCAATATACACTGTGCCCATTGTGAAGTCTTTTATCCCTCACCCCCACCCCCCACACTTTCTCCTGAGTCCCCAAAGTCCATTGTATCATTCTTATGCCTTTGGGTCCTCATAGCGTAGCTCCTGCTTAGGAGTGAGAACATATGATGTTTGGTTTTCCATTCCTGAGTTACTTCACTTAGAATAATGATCTCCCATTCCATCTAGGTTGCTACAAATGCCATTATTTTGTTCCTTTTTATAGCTGAGTAATATTCCATGTTTCATATTTATATCTATATCTATATATATCTATATCTATATATATCTATATATATGTCTATATATACCTATATACATATATCTATATATCTATATCTCACAACTTCTTTATCCACTCATTGATTGATGGACATTTGGGCTGGTTCCATATTTTTGCAGTTGCAAATTGTGCTGCTATAAACATGCATGTGCAACTATCTTTTTTGTATAATGACTTATTGTCGTCTGGGTAGATACTCAGTAGCTGGATCAAATGGTAGGTCTACTTTTAGTTCTTTAAGGAATCTCCACACTATTTTTCATACTTACTGTACTAGTGTACATTCTCACCAGCAGTGTGGAAGTCCCTTTCACCACATTTCTGCCAACATCTATTATGTCTTGATTTTTTCATTATGACCATTATTGCAGCAGTAAGGAGGTATTTCTTCGTGATTTTGATTTGCGTTTCCCTGATCATTAGTGATGCTGAGCATTTTTTCATGTTTGCCGGCCATTTGTATGTCTTATTTTGAGAATTGTTTATTCATGTCCTTAGCCCATGGGCTTGTTTTTTTTTTCTTGCTGATTCATTTGGATTCCTTGTAGATTCTGGATATTAGTCTTTTTTTGGATGTATAGATTGCAGATATTTTCTCCCACTCTGTGGGTTGTCTGTTTGTTGATTGTTTCTTTTACTGTGCAGAAGCTTTTTAGTTTAATTAAGTCCCATCTGTTTATCTTTGTTTCTGTTGCATTTGCTTTTGGGTTCTTGGTCATGACGTCTTTGCCAAAGCCAATGTCTAGAAGGGTTTTTCCGATGTTATCTTCTAGAATTTTTGTGGTTTCAGGTCTTAGATTTAAGTCCTTGATCCATCTTGAGCTGATTTTTGTATAAGGTGAGAGATGAGGATCTAGTTTCATTCTTCTACATGCGGCTTGCCAATGATCCCAGCACCATTTGTTGAATAAGGTGTCTTTTCCCCACTTTATGTTTTTGTTTGCTTTGTGGAAGATCAGTTTCCTGTAAGTATTTGGGTTTATTTCTGGGTTCTCTATTCTGTTCCATTGGTCTATGTGCCTATTTTTATACCAGTACCATGCTGTTTTGATGACTTTCGCCTTATGGTATAGGCAAACAGGATTTCTTAATGGCTTGGATATGGAATGTGGGAAAGAAGCATTAAGGATGATTACAAGATTTTTGACCTGAATAACTGGAATAGACTTGCCATCATCTGAAACAGAGATGGCTCCTGGTGGAGCACATTTTTGGCTGGGGGAGAGATTAAGCGGTTTAGCTTCTGTAATGTTGATTTTGAAACGTTTGTTAGAAACCTATGGGGCACTATCCATTATTTGAATATGTGTTTCTTGACTTCAGGACAGAAGTCTGCGCTGAAATTATAAATTAGTGAATCATTAGCATATGGATTTAAACTTCAGATGCTGGATTAAATCACCAAGATAATATGTTGAGATAGAGAGGAAGACCAGGACAAGAGCTCTGGAGCATTCCAACATTAAGAATGTGAGAGAAGGCACAAGTCAAAGAGATGGAGGAGTGGAAACCAGTGAGCTAGGAAGAAAATTATGAGAACGTATGAAGTCTTGAAGCCAAGTGAATGACATGTATCAAGGAAGAAGTGATTAACTATGTTAAATGCAATCAAGTGAAGACTAGGAGTTGATCATTAGCCTAACAATACAAAATTTGTTGTCTATGATAAGCAGTCTCATTAAACTTATTAAAGCATTAACCTGATTGAAATAGGTTTGAAACTGAATAGGCAGAGAGGAGTTGTAGATAGAGGGTTTATATAACTTCTACAGAGTTTTACTGCAAAACTAATAATGCAAATTTAGGATGGGAGAAATAAGAGCATGTTTTCATACTGATATGGATAATCCAATAGAGGACAGAAAATTAACAGTTTAAATAAGAGTACCCCCCACACCCCCCACCACACACATTTCCAGAACATAGCTAAATAAAGACCCTCGAGTAGATGAGAGGATGGAATTTAGTATATAAGTCAGGCAGCTGGATTTAGATAGGAATGTGGATAGTTAATAGATTATAACAGATAGAACATAGAATTTTGGCATGCATATGCTGGTAGATGGGGAGTTATAGTGGAAATCTGATATTCTCATGTCATCACTTCAGCTGTCTCAAAATAGAAAACCAGGTGCTAGGCTAACGGAATGCAAGAAAAATATTGTGAGGTTAAGGAACAAGGAGAAAGTACAAAATATTCTCTTATAGATGGGAAAAATAGACTACGATTGTAATAAGTAATTTTGTGGTATCATTAAAGGTCACCCTGCAATTTGTGGTGCTGTTATAAATTGAAAGTAAGGCCAGGGAAATTTGTTTGTTTGTTTTCTAGCCATTTTCAGCTGTCTGGGTATAAGCAGAGCTGGCATAAAGTGGAATTTAGTGAGATTTTTATTTTCCTCAGTTATAGGAAGTAGTCCTTTAATAAGTACTAAAGGCTTGATAGCCTGAATTTAAAAATAAATTAGGAAATAATCAAGGAAATGTTTACAGCATTAGCAAAAAAAAAAAGTATATGTAGGGACCAGCCCCACAGGGTCAGTGGGTTTTTCTCCCCATGTGTTTAGATGCGAGACTGTAGAAATAAAGACACAAGACAGAGATAAAAAACAGCTGGGCCCGGGGGACCACCACCACAAGACGCGGAGACCAGTAGTGGCCCCGAATGCCAGGCTTTGCTGATATTTATCGGATACAAGACAAAGGGGCAGGGTAAGGAGTGTGAGCCATCTCCAATGGTAGGTAAGGTCACATGGGTCACGTGTCCATTGGACAGGGGATCCTTCCCTGCCTGGCAGCCGAGGCAGAGAGAGAGAGAGAGAGAGAGCGCGCTTATGCCATTATTTCTGCATATCAGAGACTTTTAGTACTTTCACTGATTTTGCTACTGCTATCCAAAAGGCAGAGCCAGGTGTACAGGATGGAATATGAAAGTGGACTAGGAGCGTGACCACTGAAGCACAGCATCACCGGGAGACAGGCCTTTGGATAACTGCGGGCAGACCTGACTGATGTCAGGCCCTCCACAAGAGGTGGAGGAGTAGAGTCTTCTCTAAACTCCCCCGGGGAAAGGGAGACTTCCTTTCCCGGTCTGCTAAGTAGCTGGTGTTTTTCCTTGGCACCGACACTACCACTAGACCACAGTCCGCTTGGCAACAGGCGTCTTCCCAGATGCTGGTGTTACCGCTAGACCAAGGAGCCCTCTAGTGGCCCTGTCTGGGCGTGACAGAGGGCTCACACTTGTCTTCTGGTCACTTCTCACTATGTCCCTTCAGCTCCTATCTCTGTATGGCCTGATTTTTCCTAGGTTATAATTGTAGAGCAAGGATTATTATAATATTGGAATAAAGAGTAATTACTACAAACTAATGATTAATGACATTCATATATAATCATATCTATGATCTAGATCTACTATAGCTCTTGTTGTTTTATGTATTTTATTATACGGGAACAGCTCGTGTCCCTGGTCTCTTGCCTCCGCACCTGAGTGGCTTGCCGCCCACAGTGTAAACATTGGTCTCTAACAGATCATTTTTAGTACAATTGTGAAATGTTTACTCTTGTTCTTTTAACTCCAGGCATTGACAAGACTCCATCAGCTGAAACTTTTAGGTCATACTTTAGTCGTTGAATTTGCAAAAGAACAAGATCAAGTTCACTCCCCGTGTCCCACTTCAGGCTCTGAAAAAAAAAAAAGGTATGTAGATAATACATTTTGTAACATTTTTAAAGTTTTTTTTTTTTTTTTTTTCAATCAGTTATACAGTTATTGTATTGGTTTCAGACTAGCCAGTAAGTAATTGGAAGAGTAGTGACAGATTTTTCCATTAAATCTAGCACAGTAAAACAATATCTTTATTTTTGCCCCTAATTGTGCATTAGGAACTAGATTTAATATTACAGTTTAATCAGTGTGAAGTTGGAAGGGAGTGGGCTGAAATGAATTCATCTTCAACCTTCAGTGGAGGGAAAATAACCAGTATAATATTTTTGTATCAAAGATAACACAATGTGATAAAATCAAGACTGGCATTTGGTTTCCAGCTTTGACTTTTTATAGTACACCTTGACAAATTTGCTTTACACTAGTGGTTCTCAAAGTGTGGTCCCTAGATCAGCTGTATCATCTGTAAACTTGATCAAACTACAGAACCTTGAGCTTTTTTAACCCTGTCTTACTGAATCAGAAACTTCATTGAGGGATGGAAGGGATGGGAAAATGCTCTAGAAGTCTATGAGTTTTAATAAACTCTCCAACTGATTATGACATACATTAATGACATTTGATTACCACTATTTTATACCATGTAAACTTTAGTTTTATTTTTGGTCAGTGACAATTATGCCATCTTCATAGTCTTGCTATGAAGAGTAAATGAAAATGTGTAGTGCTGAATAATAATTTTATTATTATAGCACTTCTGTACTAATAATAATACAGAAGGGATTTAGTGAAGGTTAATTTTAGTTCCCTTCCCATTTATAGGTGTTTGCTTGAGAAATACTTGAAAGTTTTTTTTTTTTTTTTTTAATCAAACTGTTTTTATAATGACATGTTTGAAAAGGTAATTTATCTTTTTTGTGTGCAGTTTTTCACTCTTTGGAAAGTTGAGATTAACTTTGATTCTGTATGTCCCAGGTCTGACGACCCTGTCGAAGATGATAAAGAAAAAAAAGAACTTGGTTATTTAACAGTGGAAAATGGAATTGCACCAAACCATGGGTTAGCATTTTTATTTGCTTTTCTTTTGCTTTTGATCTGTGTTGTATACAGATACACAGATGTCTTACTGCTTTTTCCTTATGGTATATTGTGATATACAGATATCTTCATATATATTGTGATATACAGATATCTTATTGCTTATTGAATATTGTTTTATATACAGATACCTTATTGCAAATAAGATAATTTAAGATAATTTTAAAAACAAAGATATTTATTTTCATGTATATTTTTAATATGTTGAATCACATTTTGAGTTACGAGTTTGTCACTGAATTCAGTGCAGAGAAAGCATCTCTTGAAATGTTCAGAGATACAAGGTAAACCTCTGCCAAGAAATACAGTAGCTTATTTTTCTTTTTAAACGTACTTTGCATCTTTTAGGAACAAGATAAATCTAATAGTACTGTATCATTTGAGCAGTGTGTTTGTTACCAGGTTACCTAAAATGAGTTAGTGATACGAAATTATTAAAACATAAGCATCTTAAATGTTTTTTATTTTATAGGCTGACTTTTCCTTTAAATTCATGCCTCAAGTATATGTACCCACCACCTTCCAGCACAATTCTTGCAAACATAGTAAATGCCTTGGCAAGTGTGCCTAAGTTCTATGTACAGGTAAGTAGAATAAAACTTTTCCTAAAAGGACTTGTTTATATAGCTTGCTATTTTATTTTCCATGCTGATTCTCATAAAAGTAATCAGACTAATTCTAGACAGCCAGTGATACACTACTTTAAATGTAATTAAATATTTACTACTTTCAAGTAAAGACTTTTATAAGGTATAATGTAAGTGGATACTAATAAACAGAAGCTAGTTTGGGAAATGTAATTTGTGATAATTCTCTATTACTTTAGAATACACCATTAAATAGAGATTCAGACCCCTGAGCAAATGCTTAAAAATATTGGCAGTAATAGCATGTTTTTTTGAAGTACAAAGTATAGATGTATTTTAATGTATTTCTCTGTTTTATAATTTTACAATAATTGAGGTAAAGATATAAAATCATTTCAAGTAGGTTTTATATTGCAAGAACATTACGTTCTTAGCAACGGGACTAATTGAACATGTAGAATTGACATTTTAGGAAGGTTAATCTGAGATACACCAATGCCTTGTTTTACCTTATGCAGAGATCCTAAAGTCAAGAGATGGGCAGGTCTTCCTTTACACTCAATTAATAAATAGTGTTATTGCAAAGTTTCTTAGTATGTAAAATACAAGATGTGAGTTGAATCAATTTATATGTGAATTTAAATGTTTTACCATTTTAAGGTCCTTCATCTTATGAATAAAATGAATTTGCCCACACCTTTTGGACCAATTACTGCGCGACCTCCCATGGTAAGACAGCTCTTAGAATTTTGAAGTCAAAATTTCTCTTCCCGAATGGGATTATTGAGGCTGAATTATACAGGTGTTGTAGCGACCTCTGATGTACATTGAAAATAAGGAACAGATATAAAGTAATATGATGATAACAGAAGAACTGAGAACTGTAAGTGAGGAAAAGCCAGAATATGAAAGAAATGCTTTTGGCAATAAAGACTATCATATCATCCAGCATTGTTAAGTTCTTTGAGCCAAAACATTGTGCCATCCTATAAGGTAGTTACGCTTAACTAGATTACCTAAGGATTTCATTGTTCTGGTTTTGTCACAAATAGAGCTTTGTTTGCAAAAGACGAAAAAGGGTGCTGGTATTTTTATTAGACTTGACTATGCAAATCTGTCAATAATTTAGAAGTAGGCTATACCTGCTCTTGAATAATTTTAGTTATTATTTTGCTCTAGTACTCTTAGTATATTTATAAATAATAGCAATGCAAAATTATTAATACATTGAGTGTTCATATATGAATAGAAGAGAATTTGGTTGGGGATTTGCTACTTTTCTAATGTATGTACTATTAACTTTAGGATTTGTTTGTTATTTTTGTTTGTTTGTTTGTTTTTGTAACCCCAGCACCTACTCAATGCTTGATATATTACTGGAGAATTAATTAAGATTATATTAACTGCTGTTAACAAATAAATTCTTAGTCATTTAATACAATAAAAATGATTTTTTTGTCATGTCACATCCTTTCCAAAAGTAGAGCAGAGGGATATTTTGCTCTACTGAGCCATGAAAAACACCTGAATTGTTTTGACTGTGTGCCTTCTCAGATTGATGAAGACATTGCTACACAGTCTGCAGATCAGGAAGGAAAAATTATATGTGGGAGTTTCTAATTGTCTCATTTCATTGGCTATAACTCAGTTACAAGGGGAAGTATAACTACAGAGGATCTTTGAAAATTTAGTTCAGCTGAGGGTGAAGGAAGAAGACGCACATTTTGTGATCAGCTAGTGATCTGCCCTACAGGGTGTTCGCTCAACATGTGTAGAATGTGTTAAAAAAAATGTGATAGAAATGAGAATGAAGTATTCAAATGGAGTTTGTTCTATAAATATTTTAGACTGCCGTAGTATTTTTGTTTTATTCTTTTAATTAGTATGAAGACTATATGCCATTGCATGCACCTCTTCCACCCACATCTCCTCAGCCACCTGAGGAACCTCCTTTGCCAGACGAGGATGAGGAATTATCTAGTGAAGAATCAGAATATGAAAGCACTGATGATGAGGACCGACAGAGGTTTGTAACATGAAATGTTTGTTTAGTTTCCAAGAAACATAGAATGTAAGAAAGAGACTCTTGCTCTCCCTAGATTTTGTGTTTATAATTCTTCATAGTTTTGAGTGATTAGAATTTGTCCTCAGCCCCCCAACACCTCAAGCATATATAGCAGCTATAAATTAAGACCTGAGAATAGATACCAAGACCTAAGTGAAAATTTTTGGATTATGCATAATTTTTTAGATTGATGATTATGGTATTATAAACTACGTTCGAGCCTTGTTATTTGTGGATTCCATATTGGCGAATTTGCCTACGTGCTAAAATTTATTTGTGACTCCAAAATCAATAATTGATGTGCTTTTTATTAATTATTATTCTTCTTATTTTTTCTTTTGACATGGAGTTTTGCTGTTATTGCCCAGGCTGGAGTGCAATGGCGTGATCTCAGCTTACCACAACTTCCGCCTCCCAGGTTGAAGCGATTTTCCTGCCTCAGCCTCCTGAGTAGCTGGGATTACAGGCATGTGCCACCATGCCTGGATAAATTTTTGTGTTTTTCGTAGAGATGGGGTTTCTCCATGTTAGTCAGGCTGGTCTCGAACTCCCACCTCAGGTAATCCGCCTGCCTCAGCCTCCCAAAGTGCTGGGATTACAGGCATGAGCCACCATGCCTGATCTTGATGTGCTGTTTAAAGTTTTTGGTGGAAATGGACATTGTGCCATGCGGTGAAAAATTTAAGTCAGTCAACACACAGGTTCCCAGATGAAGTCAAATAAAGTCACCCTCTAAGAGCCTTTTGTTTCAGTTCTCATACTACAAACAAGTATCCTTTTCATGGTCTGTTCAGCACTACCTTTTTTTTTACATTTTTGAGTTTTTTTGTTGTGACTCTTGTGTTTAAAATGGCCTTCGAGCATGGTGTTGAAGTGCTCTTTAGTGTTCCTGAGCTCAAGAAGGCTATGTCAAGCCTGATGGAGAAAATACATGGTTTTCCTTCAGGCCAGAGTTATGGTGGTATTGACTGTGAGTTCAATGCTAATGATTCAATAGTGTATATTAAGTAAGGTGTTCTTAGACATAAACATATATTAAACAAGGTAATGTATTGATCAGATGACAAGATGTTGTAAACAAAGGCTTCCAGGAACCTAATCCTGAATTTTCCTAGGGACAGTGATTTAGTGTTTATGGTAACCTTAGAACATAACTACTGCAAATAATGAACTTCGACTGTGTTCATGTTTTGACAGATGCTTATTCTTCTGGACTTTATTTACCTCAGGATAATTTCTAGAGCAATTCTTTAGGATTTTATACAAAACTATTCATAGTAACTACTGCAGATGAATTATTCTTTTTATTGATAGTTCTTGACAATCTACATATTTTATTTAAGGATTCTGACAAACAATAGTACATTGTTAATAATGTTCATGTATATAATCCACAGCCTGACTTAGAACAAGAGTTGCCAAACGGTTTCTTTATAGGTCCAAAGAGTAAATATTTTTGACTTTGTGAGACATGTGGTCTCTGTTGTGGCTACTCAGTTCTACCCTTGGAGTAGGAAAGCATCCATGGATAGTATACGTAATGAGTTGATATGGCCTTATTCCAACTAGACTTTATTTATAAAAACAGGCAGCCAGCTGGATTTGGTCATTGAGCTGTAGTTTGTCAACCCCTATCTGCAGGACTCTGATGGTAAAATGATCGAAATCTTAGGTGACTATGCACAGAAGAAGTGGTATATAGGAGGAGTGAGTGATTGGCATGAGGCAGAACCCAAGCAGAGACTCTGAGCAACATACACAAATAATTGCAATTTGACTGAGTTAGTGTCCACCTAAGTAGTGGTACAATGTGCAGTGTATTCTCTTTGTAAGGAAAGAGTTACAATCAAAGCATAGATGGGGCTGAAACTACAAAATGGGAGTGAATACAGTATCTGTCTTGGACAGAGACGTTTAGGGAAGCTGGCAGTTCCTGATAGATGATTACTTTAACTTGTTGCTAAAAGAAAAAGAATAGTATAGAGTGTTAACTCTGGTTTAATTACTTAGCCTCTGTGAACTTCACTTTCTTTATAAAAATAATAATAGTAATTAAAAATGCTATAGTAAACTAGCCAAACCCTTTTTTGTTTGTTTACTTAGATTTCCATTAAAGGATGTAGTGTGGAATTCTAACAGTAATTCATCTTGAGTCCTGAGAGAGAACATAGCCTTTGCATGTACCAAGCTCTAGTTTCCTGCTTCTCTGTTATCTTCAGGAAATGTAATAAGACCTAAACAAAACAAAAATGGTACAGGTTGAGTACCTCTAAACTAAATCTGAAATCCAGAATGCTTCAAACTCTGAAATTTTTTGAGTACCAGTATGATACCACATATGGCTGGCTTAGTGACACCTTTGCTTGTTTTCTTTCTTTCTTTTTTTTTTTTTTAAGGCAGGGTCTTACTCTTTTGCCCTAACTGGAGTGCAGTGATGTAATCATGGCCTACTGCATGCTCAACCTCCCGGGCTCAAGCAGTCTGCCCGCATCAGTCCCAGTAGCTGGGACTACAAGCATGTGCTACCACACCTGGTTAATATTTTTCGTATTTTTGTAGTGATAGGGTTTCACTATGTTGCACAGGCTGGTCTCAAAATCCTGGGCTCAAGTGACCCGCCCTCCTTGTCCTCCCAAAGTGCTGGCATTATAGGTGTGAGCCACCGTGTCCAGCCAACACTTTTGCTTTCTGATGTTTCCATGTACACAAACTTTATTTCATGTACAAAATTATTAGGAATATTATATAAAATTATCTTCATCTTTTGTGTATAAGTTGTATATGAAATGTAAATGAATTTTGTGTTTAAAGTTGTGTCTCATCCTCAAGAGATCTCATGTATATGCAAATATTACAAAACCGATGTAATTCTGGTTCCAACCATTTTGGATAAGGAGTGCTCAACCTGTATTATTCATTTATTCAGCAAATCATTATTGATTACTGACTATATGTCTAGCACTCTTGTAGAGGCTTGATGTACTTTGGGTCAGCAATTTATAAATGTAGACATACACTGTGAATAACTAAATTTTTTCATAAAGTTTTTAGTAAACCATGGTTTTTAGAAAGGGTTTAAAAATTTATAGCATATGTTTTCATTTTCCCTCAGGGAAAAAGGTTTAAAGCTTATTTGAACAATACCCTCCTTCCTCTCTTTTGTATTTTGTTATGTGCATATATTTATTTTGCTTTCAAATTTTACAAATATAACCCTGAGAAGTAGAGCTGGGACTAACGGTTTTCAAATTCCTGCTCTGTAGATGATACAGAAATACCTAGACAAGATCTATCTTTAATATTAAATATTCATACTCTTAATAGAGAAAAGCTATGTACAAAGTGTTATCACTTCCTGAAACTACTTCAGAGCATAGTACAGGATTTGAAAACTGTTCTCAAGTAATTTAAGTTACCTTATTTATAGGATGATTGATTTGCAACAGTTATGCACAAAAAGCTTTTAAATGACGTATTTCAGTCCGGGCTCTGTTTAATAATTAGAATATGAATAAAAATCATTTAAGAACATTAATATTATATCAATTTTATTATTGTATCTTGTTCAACTGTTTGGCATTGAAGTTCAACCATTTTATTTGGGCAACTGCTTATGATGAGACATACATTTTAAAAATTGATAACATGTAATTAAGTCTATTTTTAATTTTTTCCAAGTAAGATGAAAGCTGAGCAAGGCAATTTAGTATTTGAGCTTTTCTCAAATTGGTTATCTCTTAATTGATAGTGTTCTGTATATTTGATATAAGTAAAACATTTTAAAATTTAAATTATATACCAAAATATAAATTTAACTTTAATAGAAACAGTGGTAAATAGCTATGGTTCTAGAAAGGAAATTTTGTTTATCATTCTTCTCCTCATTGTAGAATGAACAAATTAATGGAACTAGCAAATCTTCAGCCCAAAAGACCAAAAACAATAAAGCAGCGCCATGTGAGAAAAAAGAGAAAAATAAAGGATATGTTGAATACACCTTTGTGTCCTTCACACAGGTAATTTTATTTGAACTATGAAATGAGGGTTGTTTGTATGTACTTTGTTTATTTGCTTAATTCACATCATTCTTCAAGCTGGCATTTGTTTCCTTTCAATGTTCTTGGTTTACCATTGGCTTCCTAGTTGCCAAATTTATAAATATTCATAGTTCTCTCACAGTTGACCAGTACTCTCTTCTCTGTCCTAAGCCTTCATGTATTTTCTTCCAGCTTGCTGTCTGCAGACTCAGAATTTCTTATAGGCACTTAGGATATTATCCAAAACAAAATTCATTTACTTTCCTTTTACCATTTCTTTGCTCTTTCTCCTTGTGCATTTATAGTTTTGTTAGTGACATTACTGTCACTAGTGTAATATATTAGTGAATAATGTCACTAATATAAACATGAGTGTGTTTATGTACAGTTATTTAGTTTCTCTTAACTCCATCACCTGATATCAGACATTTTTTATTTAAAAAGTACCCAGCAGATAAAAATTCACGTATCTTTTCTTGGCACACAGGACCCACCAGAGTGCCTTTAAGTATTTGTTGAATGTATGGTAAGGTTCTCTGCTAAATATTGTGTGTAGTTTAAAGCATGCTTCTAAAGTTTAATGCTGTCTTTTCAAAGAGTGAGTTAATAGTCTTAAGGATAATAAGCCAGATGCACAGATGATTATTGCATTAGCATTTATAATACATGACATAGGAAATATAAACTAAGAACTAAAAGATTGTGAGAAAAGAGAGGCCACAGCCAGTTGAGAAATTTGGAAAGGTTGTAAGAGAGAGAGGAGACATTTGAGCTGGCCCTTTAAGGAGGAGAGACAAAAATTAGGCAGGGAAACTGTAACCTATGTGAATGGAAGAATAAAAGGAAAGTTTCCAGAGAAGAAAATTTATTGAATAGGAATAGAAACAATGAGAGAGAAAGCTAGAAGGATTTGAAACCTCCCCTAAATGGTAGGCTGTGAAGTTTGAATTTATTGAAGAAGCCATTGGAATGCCATTGATATTTTTAAAAATTAAGAATTCCTTTTGCACTACTTTATCTTGTAATAAACTTCCTAAAGAATTTGCAGATTTAGGATAAGGGTCAAGCCATAGTTATCCAAGAATGTTAGTAGATATAAGTTACCTTTCCATTGTGTTTTGCACATTTTATTATAGTCCGGAAGTTGTCAGTAAAATGATACTTGTTTTATACATGTTTGAATTATTTTACCTTTTTTTCCCTTTGAATCTCTATAGTGACACTGAACAATAGAAATTAATGTTAGCCACATTAAAATTGTATGAAGACATAATGTAAAACATCTTGATAACTTTTTATATTGATTATATGTGGAAATAATATTTTGGATATAATGAGAAATAATAAGTTATCAATATTTCATCTGTTTCTTTTCATGGTTTTAATGTGACTATTGATAATTTTAAGTCATCAAAATCTAGTGTTATCTATATGTTTAAAATATCAAACATAGAATGCACTATTTTGCATATTGGTAAATATCCTGGGGTTTAGAATCAATAGTCATCAAATCTCTGTCATTTCCAGAATGACCTTATACAAATTATTAACATTACTGAACCTTTTTATGTGTAAACTAATAATTTATTAGTACCTATATGAGAGTATTAAAGTTTATTAAACTAATAAATCTAAGTCACTCTCTTTATTCAATATCAAAAGTATAGTGAATCCTTTGTCAGTGTTAACTTTTACAATTTAAAGTAAACTTGAAATAATATTTTACTCAGGATTTTATTTGCAATTACAAACTAATGCTATGATTGTTTTTAAATAGCAGCTTACATCCAGTGCTGTTACCTTCAGATGTATTTGACCAACCACAACCTGTAGGTAATAAAAGAATTGAATTCCATATATCTACTGACATGCCAGCTGCATTTAAGAAAGATTTAGAGAAGGAACAAAATTGTGAGGAAAAAAATCATGGTAAGGATATTCTAGTTATTTCACATGCTGAAATCAACTTTTTGTGTTAGAATTAAGTTTTACATATAATGTTTTGTATTTTAGTATTTGTCAACTTTATTTAAAATATGCAATTAGTGTTTCCTCAAAATCATGGAATAATATCCACTTTCAACTTTTTTATATAACAGAAATTGATGGTAAATGGCGAGATTGTCACTGTTACCCTTTGCTAATAATGACTTCTAGAATGAAATTTAGTGCTTTTTGCTGATGTTTACACTAAAAATATAATGTATATTTTACTGACTTTTTCATTGCTTGTTTCATGTGATGGCCTATGGTTTTATTAGTGTAATTATACTAATATTTCTGGTTAGAAAACAAGCAATGTGACTATTTTGTGAGTTGTAGACTTAATGTAAATGTATATATTTTTAATCCAAAAGACATGGACGATTGTTGCCAAGAAAGCTATTCTTAAGTTTAAAAAAACGTATTGAAATTACAGAGTTTTTTTGCTTGTTTTAATCACGAATTTGATGTTATAATGGTGTTCTTTTGTTCTTTAAGTCTTTATTTTGAAATTTCTGAAATAATCCCAGTTGATCGGAATGTAACCAAAACAAAGTAAAATTGTTAAAAAGTTAACACCTCAAACCTCACTCTCCTCTGTCCTACTACCTAAAGGCAAATACTGTTAGCAATTTGGTATGTGTATATATGTACGTGTGTGTGTGTGTGTGTGTGTGTGTGTGTATCCTTCCAGACCTTATCTTGTACATGTATGAACACATTTCCATCTTATTTTTTAAATGAACGTTATGTTTTGATGGTATTTATCATTCACTCAGTAGTGACTTGTTGAAAGTTTGTTATCTAGCAGCCTCCATGGACAAGTTTGCCATGGTCTCTTTTTTGAAGTTTACAATCTAGTTTGGGGTAGCTTACTATGTCAAAATATAATCATATACTTTACATTTTTTAGCTGTATAATAGCCCATAATATAATTTTGTCAATATTTTATCATGCTTTTTTCATAGAAGTTGAGGTTGTTTCCCTTCTTTTACTATTACAGAAAATAGTGGAATATGTCTTTGCACATATATCTTTGAGCACTTGTGTGAATATAGGATAGAATTCTAGTAAGTATTGCAAACATAGTGAGTGGAAAACTGTTACTAGTTTTCATTCCTGTCTTGGATGGTGAGTGTGAATGTAGTGCCTTTTCAGGTAACTCCTTTTTTGTGCGTTTAACATTTTTCTTTTTATAAATTTTTCTTATCTCATGGCTAGTCACCCTTTAACACAATTTTTTTACTGTTTGAACCTTTATAGAAAATGTTTACATATGCCTCTTTCAGTATATTGAGAAACACCAAAGAATTTTAGTGCCTAAAGATATATTATTAAATATAAACTGGGAGGAGGGGGCAGTAACTGTTTTTAAAGGAGAGATTCTTATGGTTAATGTTAACATTTAACTCTTAGATTTACCTGCTACTGAAGTTGATGCATCCAATATAGGATTTGGAAAAATCTTCCCCAAACCTAATTTGGACATCGCAGAGGAGATTAAAGAAGACTCTGATGAAATGCCATCAGAATGTATTTCCAGAAGGGAATTGGAAAAGGGCAGAATTTCTAGAGAAGGTAATATCACGAAATAAACTAAGCACATATTCCATTTTACATATCTTTGACTTTACAGAAACAAAACAAGTTTGTCATGCCATTTACCTTAATTTAAGGCACATACTTTAGAACATCTCTCCGATTAATGTTTGTAATCACTTCTTCTGGTTTTTTTTAATACTCATACTTTATAGTGGAGAGAACATTTCTTTCCATACAGTGTTTCCAGTCTATATTTGGGAAAAATTTTTGTTTTCATTCCTAAAACTTTTATGTGTCATTTAAAATAAGTCAGTATGTCCTACAAGTCTGGGGTTATATATTCCAAATGCAGCCGAAAGACTGTCACAAATACTGTGTCTGAGATACATACAAAGCGATGTTAAAAAAAAAATGGTGATTAGAAATCTATGATTTTAGGATTTTATATCCTAACATAGTTTTCTACTTCTCAAAGACTTTTACTGTTTTAGTATATTGTCAGAAAATATTTAGAGGCTTTAGATTGATGTGTAGTACATAATTTTTCCGACAGTAATGGGAAATAGACTTCCAGCTAGGATTTTTACACAAAACATCTATCTGATTTTCTGTAACAGACTACTGACGTTAAATGAGAGGAGCTATACAGGGGTTCTTAGGCCATGGTTTGTCATTGCACAACAATCACCTGGAGAGCCTGGAAAAACAGTTTTATAGGCCCACTTGCAGAGATGCCTGATATTGTGCTTATTTCATTCTTGCATTTAAATATGGAGGTGGCTGATGGTTTGGGAAATTCACTTTAAGCAAAATAATTACCCAAATCAATTAGCATATATACTTTACTCTTTTTTTATAACATGACTCATCTTAATGGAGTTTTAATAGTAGATATTTTATTGGCCAAATTTTAGTTACTCTAGAAGTCTGAAATTTTTTAAACAAAAGTTTTTTATATATATAAAAACTTAAAAGTTTTATATATAAAAAGTTTTCTATATAATCAATTCAGATTTTCAGTGAGTGTATTTAAACCCATTTGTAACATTGTTACTAATTTTATAGTTTTAACATTTTCATAAAGCTTAATTTGTCTATTTAACAGTTATATTTGAATATGATAATTACATTTAAAAACTTGGTTAAAATATTTTAATTGTGTATCTTTGTTTTTGTTTTTTAATAAGAAATGGAAACACTTTCAGTTTTCAGAAGTTATGAACCTGGTGAACCAAACTGTAGAATTTATGTAAAGAATTTAGCTAAACATGTTCAAGAAAAGGTAGGTATAAATTGATTTTTTTTCATGTAAATGAAAATAATTTGAGGTTTTATACTTGGTGTGTTAAAATCTGTGTGAAACTACCTTTAAGAATGTGTTTTTGTTGTTGTTTTTTTTTTACTGTGCTTCAGGGCATGACAAATTATTGTTTAGTATTTTCAGGTTAATTTTTTGTTAAAATAATATTCTCATAGCTTGGCTTCTCTGGCAGTAAATACTGAGACAGAGTTTGGGGTATGTATTAATTTCCTAGGGCTAAGTGGCTGAAACAACAGAGATGTGTTGTCTCACAGTTCTGGAGGCAAACTGAAGGCAAAAGTGTGGCAGGATTGGTTCATTCTCAAGGCTTTGAGTGAAGGATTTGTTCTGTGCCTCTCTCATAGCTCAGGCGATCTTTCACCTTCCTTGGCTTGTGGCAGCGTCATCACAATTTCTGCCTTTGTACATAGCGTACTCCCTTTGTGAGTGTCTGTGTCCAAATTTTCCCTTTTGAAAGGCCACCAGTCATATTAGATTAAAACCTTAGTCCAGTATGACCTCTTCTATTGATGTATTGATGTATGTATTTATTTATTAACAGTTTTTTTTTTCCCCTGGTTTTGTTATTTGTCTTCTTCGTATTGAAATTCTAGGACCTTAAATATATTTTTGGAAGATATGTTGACTTTTCATCAGAAACACAGCGGATCATGTAAGTGACAGTAAAATATAATCTTAAATTATGTTTTGTTTTTATCTGTTACAAATTTACTATTTTAATTCCATCATTTTCCTTTTAGAGATAAAAAATTATATGAAAAAGTTGATCTGTGCTGTTGCACAATTGATCTTTTAAGATGTCTAGAATAGGAGTTAGCAAACTTTTTCCGTAAATGGGCAGATAGTAAAAATTTAATATTTTTATTTTGTTGCAGACCATACTGTGTCTGTTGGAACTACTCAGTTTTGTAGTTGTATTATGAAGGCAGCCATAAAACCTGAATGAATATTCATGGCTATGTTCTAATAAAACTCTTTGCAGAAACAGGCCTGTGATACATTCTGACCTTAATCTTCTCTCTAAATACATGGTTCTCAGACTTTAACGTTGCACAAGAATCACCTGGAGAGCCTGGAAAAACAGTTTTATAGGTCCACCTGCAGAGAGTCTGATTTTCTAGGTTTCATGGGTAGGACTCATGAATTTGTGTTTCTGTGCTTTGAAAACGATTCTTTCAATGAATCATCCAGGAATATATAGCAGTGAGGCAAAACTTTTTAGATTCTTACTCTGACAGTAAATTGTCATCTTTTAAAGAACTTCATTGAGCAAGGCTTCCAGTTTTGTGAAAGCAAAAGAGAGGGTTGTGATTTATAAATGTTATAAAAGCTAATGTGTTAGTCTGTTTTCACACTGCTGATAAAGACATACCTGAGAATGGGCAATTTACAAAGGAAAGAGGTTTAATGGAAAACTCTCAGTTCCATGAAGCCAGGGAAGCCTCACAATCATGGCAGAAGGCAAGGAAGAGCAAGTCACATTTTATGTGGCTGGTGGCAGGCAAAAAGAGAGACAGCTTGTGCAGACAAACTCCCATTTTTTTTAAACCATCAGATCTTGAGACTCCTTCACTACCACGAGAACAGTGCAAGAAAGACCCACTCCTATAATTCAATCACCTCCCACAGAGTTCCTCCCACTACACATGGGAATTGTGGAAGTTACAATTCAAGATGAGATTTGGGTGGGGACACAGAGTCAAACCATATCATTCTGCCCCCACCCCTCCCAAATCTCATGTCCTCACATTTCAAAATGAATCCTGCCTTCCCAACAGTCCCCCAAAGTCTCAGCTCATTTCAGCATTAATTCAAAAGCCCACAGTCCAAAGTCTCATTGGAAACAAAGCAAGTCCCTTTTGCCTAGGAGCCTGTAAAATTGAAAGCAAGTTAGTTACTTCCTAGATACAATGGGAGTACAGGCATTGGGTAAATACAGCCATTCCAAATGGGAGAAGTTGGCCAAAACAAGGGTGCTATGGGCCCTGGAGAAATCATCCAAACCAGAGGGGCTACAGCCCTTGTGCAAGTCCAGAATCCAGCGGGGCAATCAAATCTTAAAGCTCCAAGGATCTCCTTTGATTCCATGTCTCATATTCTGGTCATGCTGATGCAAGAGCTGGGTTCCCATGGCAGTTCCACTCCTGTGACTTTGCAGAGTACAGCCTCCCTCCCAGTTGCTTTCATGGGCTGGCATTGAGTATCTGCAGCTTTTCCAAGTGCATGGTGCAAGCTACCATTCTGGGGTCTGGAGGACGGTGGCCCTCTTACCACAGCTCCGCTAGGTGGTGCCCTAGTAGCAACTCTGTGTGGGGACCTCAACCCCACATTTTCCTTCTGCACTGCCTTAGCTCATGAGAGCCCCATCCCTGCAGCAAACTTCTGCCTGGACATCCAGGCATTTCCATATAGCCTCTGAAATCCAAGTGGAGGCTCCGAAACCCCAATTCTTGACATCTGTGCACTGCCAGGCTCATCACCATGTGGGAGCTGCCAAGGCTTGAGGTTTGCACCCTCTGAAGCTACCACCCAAGCTCTATGTTGGCCCCTTTCAGCCACAGCTGCAGTGTCTGGTGGGCAGAGCACCAAGTCCCTAGGCTGCACACACCACAGGTACCCTGGGCCCGGCCCTAGAAATCACTTTTCCTTCCTAAGCCTCAGGTGATGGGAGGGGCTCCCATGAGACCTCTAACATGCCCTGGAGACATTTTCATCATTTTCTTGGGGATTAACATCAGACTCATCATTACTTATGCAGATTTCTACAGCTGGCTTGAATTTCTTCTCTTTTTGTTTTCTGTTGCATTGTCAGACTGCAAAATTTCTGAACTTTTATGGTGTTTACTTTTAAAACTGAATTCCTTTAATAGCACCCAAGTCACCTCTTGAATGCTTCGCTGCTTAGAGATTTCTTCCAACAGATACCCTCAAGTTCAAAATTCCATAAATCTCTAGGTCAGGGGAAAAATGCCACCAGTCTCTTTTTATTTTAAAACCATCAAACCTTGCGAGGCTCATTTACTATCACGAGAACACAAGAAAGACCCACCCATATAATTTAGTCACCTGTAACAGCATTCCTCCCATGACACATGGGAATGTAGGAGTTACAATTCAAATGAGATTTGGGGACACAGAGCCAAACCATATCAGCTAATGTTTGGAGTTAGAATTTCATTCTTTACAATACTGTATTTGTTAATTCCAAAGTATGAAAGACTCCCTGTCATATAAATTAAAAGTAAGAAGTAGTAGAAAGGATAAGGTAAGAGGCTTTTGAGTGCAGATAAAATAAATAAGTGACTGTAACTAAGTTTTGTTTTAATCTTCAAGTGACATCAATATTTTAAAAATCTTATCTGGCCTATGTGTTTTTTTAGATAGGTATACACAAATGGAACCATGTTTTACAATTCTCTATATTCATTAGGAACAAATACCTCTTATCAGGATGCCAAAATATTTTTTCTTTTGCTGGTCATGTAAAATGCTAAGTCTTTTTCTTTGTTGCCATCTTTGAGTCATGATTATAAGAAAAAAAATAATTTACTGCATTTTTTGATAGTTTTTTATGTTGTATTATTTTGGTAGTCTCGTAGACTAAATATTAGGTAATATTTCAGTTGTAAATTACAATCTGGTTTTTCTAAGTAGCGTTTGACTGATTTTCTTTCAAAAATTTCAAAAAATTGAATACACTATGGAATAGATCACTATATTAGGAAGTTAAAAATTTGGTTTGTGTTTCTGACTTTAGATCTTAGCTGTCTGCTTTGAAGAGTCACTCACTGTCTCTAGACATCAACTGTAAAATTGTGGTTTTGAGTAGATAATCATTGAGGTTCCTTTCTACTTCGAAGTTCTGTAATTGCTTATAATAATATAATGAACTCTAGGCCGGGCGTGGTGGCTCACGCCTGTAATCCCAGCACATTGGGAGGCCAAAGTGGGTGGGATCACTTGAGGTCAGGAGTTAAGACCAGCCTGGTCTACATAATGAAACCCTATCTCTACTAAAAATATAAAAATTAGCCAGGTGTGGTGGCAGACGCCTATAATCCCAGCTACCCGGGGGGCTGAGGAAGGAGAATCGCTTAAACCCAGGAGGTGGAGGTTGCAGTGAGCCAAGATTACGCCACTGCATTCCAGCCTGGGCAACCGAGCAGGACTCTGTCTCAAAACATAAATTAATTAATTAATTAAAAAAAAAACATGTAATGAATTCTATAATTGTTTATAACTGGCTGTTAATCCTTTTTATTTTTCCATTCTTCGTTATAGAGTGTTATTTTGTTTTGTTTTGTTTCTTTTTAATCACTTGAGCAGGTAGTGCCAGATTGTAAGGAACTTAAAAAATTGAGATAAATAATAATTTAAGAAGTTTGCAGCTGGGCACCGTGGTTCACACTTGTCATCCCAGCACTTTGGGAGGCCAAGGCAGGTGGATCACAAGGTCAGGAGATAGAGACCATCCTGGCTAACACAGTGAAGCCCCGTCTCTACGAAAAATACAAAAAATTAGCCAGACGTGGTGGCGGGTGCCTGTAGTCCAGCTACTCCGGAGGCTGAGGCAGGAGAATGGCATGAACCCAGGAGGCGGAGCTTGCAGTGAGCCGAGATTGCACCACTGCACTCCAACCTGGGTGACAGAATGAGACTCCGTCTCAAAAAAAAAAAAAAAGTGAAGTTTGCTTTTCTTATTACTAGTAGTATAATTTTTAAATCACATACTTTTATGATAGTTGAGAATAGTTAAAAATACATCTTAAACAAATACTACCTACTTGTCGAATCAGTTTTAGTGCAAGAACATGAAATACATTTTTAGAAAACTGAATAATTGACGTGCCTATCAAATGTTTTAGTCACTTTTATTTGAAATAACAACATTTTAAATTGTTCAACACATTTTCATTCACATCATTGAAACTAACATTCTTTGAATCAAAGCTCTTTTCTTCCTTCTAGGTTTGATATACGTTTGATGAAAGAAGGTCGTATGAAAGGACAAGCTTTCATTGGACTTCCTAATGAAAAAGCAGCAGCAAAAGCCTTAAAGGAAGCTAATGGATATGTGCTTTTTGGAAAACCCATGGTGGTTGTATCCTTTAAATCCATCTATTTCAAAACTATAATTTTTAGAAGGGTATAACTGAAATAAATTTTCGTGTTATCCTTTAGAAATTTCCACAATTTGCATTCTAGCAGTAGATATTCATTCAGTTACACTTAAACCCACCTTACTGAGTCAAATGACAGTGTTATTTAGATTTTTAGTAAAGGAGCTTCAGCAGCATGAAGTTGTTCAATTTTAGCCAAGTTTTAAGTGTTTCACTTATGCAGCTCAAAAGCACATAGTTATGCGAAGAGACTAGAGTATCCAGAAGTACATTTGGAGTCATAAAAGAACTAATTCATTTTATAATTTTATTGTAATTTATATTTCTACATGAGAATTTTAATAACCAGAGTATATCATTGATTAACCATCTTGCTTTTAGTAATCAATGCAGTTTGCAAACTAGAAATCAGCAAGATAGGTAAAGAAGCAAAGGCCCAGGTATAAAAAATAATGACTATAAAGGAAAAGTTAATTATTAATTTCCTCTCAAGTCATGGAGTCAGGAGACACTCAAGGTAAATTAAAAAAATCATACTCCCACCATACATTAGAATGTTTTTGAGAATTATTTAGAAAAGATTACTTGCATATTCATGAAGGAAACCTTAATTTTAAATTATTAGCAGTTTGCTCGATCTGCTAGACCAAAACAAGATCCTAAGGAAGGAAAAAGAGTTAAAAATTAATAAAGGTAAGTGCGAATAAAACGTAATAAAAAGACAAGATTAATTCTTTAGATACAATTAAGAATAAAAGTTTAATAGAGTAGTAATTCGGGTATCTCTTATGTACTTTTTAAGGAAATATCTATCTGTGCAGTTAAGTCCCATTAAACTTCAAAACTATAACTACAGATTAAAACCCATTTTTATGTAAAAGTTGTTTGGAGAATGAATCTTATAAGGGGAGTGTGCCAGTTACTCTTTTTTTAACTTTTTCTGCCTATAGTAAATCAATAGTTCTTAAACTCTAATATGTATCATAATCACTTGGAGAGCTTAATAAAACAAAAATATGTAGGTTCTTTCCTTCCCTGAAAGAGTTTTTGATTTGGTAGGTCTGATGTGGGGACCTAGGGAAGCTAGTTATACCAGTTTTCCTTTTAACGAGGGGATATCCAGGAAGCCGTACATTTAGTGCTGAAATGGGGAATGTGTCCGGCAAGCCAGGACGAGTTGGTCACCCTTGTTGGCACCTGAAAATTTACAAAATTAATGAGTTTTCAGGTAATCATGAGGCATCTGATCCAGAGACCACAGCTTGGAAACTCCTTGGATAAACACAGATACATTTTCTAACTCTTAAAATTAACCTAGAATAAATGTTAAAATAAAAGTTAAAAAAAAAAAAAAGGTCAAACTGTCACTAAAAATAATTCTGGCTGAGGGTGGTGGCTCACCTTTGTAATCTCAGCAATTTGGGAAGTGGAGGTGGGCAGATCACAAGGTCCAGAGATCAAGACCATCCTGGCCAACATGGTGAAACCGCGTCTCTACTAAAAATACAAAAATTAGCTGGGTGTGGTGGTGCATACCTGTAGTCTCAGCTACGTGGGCTGCTAAAGCAGGAGACTCTCTTGAACGTGGGAGGTGGAGGTTGCAGTGAGCCGGGATCACACCATTGCACTCTACCCTGGCGAGAGAGGAAGACTCCAACTAAAAAAAAAAAAAAAAAATTTCAACAATACTGAGTATATAAAATTATTAACACACTTCACAACAATATGTGTTTGTGGACTTACATCTTTTTTTTGTCCTTAAAACAAGTAATTTTAGTGCATACTTAATTTGATGATTAAGTATGGTAGAATTAAGCATTTTAAATGTTAATGTTTGCTACATTGTTCAAGAAATAAGTGGAAATATATTCCTTTGTTTTTTATTTAAATTTTTCTTCCTCTGTAAACTAAAAGAACATAAAGTAAATTGGTCACAATCACAATTGGTGTTTAATTGACAAATATGAATAAATAAGAGAAAATTTGTTTAATGTTTAGTCCCTCTGAGATGGCTTGAATATTTGAATTGTGTTGTATGTCTATACTGGGTAGTCACAAGTCTTATAAACACTTTAGAGGAAAGATGGATTTCAGTCTGTATTTTTAAAAATCATTTATTTGTAAATCTGGTGCTGAAAAATAAGAAAAAAAAATTAAACTGCATTCTGCTGTTCTTCTTTAGAAGCATTCCTGCGTAAATACTGCTGTAATACTGTCATGCAAAATGTATCCTTTCTTGTCGTATCCTTTTTGGGGCAGTGTTTTTTTTATTTTTTTCTTAGAAATGTTTGTCCTTCCCCCACCTGTTGATCCAGGTTAAGCAATACTTTTTTACACTTTATTCAAATGAAATATTTCTAAAATTGTTTGTATAGATTGAAAAATCTTTTATGTGTTTTTAGATTTGTTGTTGAATTTTCTGTGCTGTCCTTTAGGTTATATAATTTTTTGAGGGAAAGTTAGTGAATCAGGTCAACTTACTTAGAGAATGTATTCATTTACTTTAACTCAGAATACAGTCTTGTTTCTTCTATTTGTATATTTTCTAAACTTAATTCAATAACATGCTTTCTGTTGTATAATGTATCTGGTTTAGGTATTTATAATATGTTTAAAATTTAATTGGGCAAAGGACATGCTTTTCTTTTAAAAAGTACTTATATTGAAAATTAAGATGTCTGGATTACTATGTAAATTCTAAAGAGTAGCAGACCTCTCATTTAAAGTCTTAAGTGAGTCTCTTTTGACATAGATAGCAATAGAAGTATCTTTCTTCTTTCCCCTTTCTTTTTCTAAACAAGGGAAAAAAAGTGTAATAGAGGGGAGAACACATAATGCCGACTAAGGGTAGTGCATTAAGTGAAAAACAGTGTTGGCAGGTATATAGGAATAGTGGTTTCCCGACTGGTTGATGACCATAATCGCCAAGAACACTGGTTCTCAGTCTTGGCTGCACATTACAGTGATCTGGAACTTGAATGAAATACTAATTTTAAAAGGGTGCAATGGTTCATACTTGTAATCTCAGCACTTTGCAAGTCCAAAATGGGAGAATCGCTTGAGCCCAGGAGTTTGAGACCAGCCTGGGCAATGTAGGGAGACCCTGTCCCTACAAAAAGATACAAAAAGTAGCCGAGTGTGGTGGCTTCCACCTCTGGTCTCAGCTACTTGGGAGGCTGAGGCAGGAGGATCACGTGAGCCCCAGAGGTTGAGGTTGCAGTGAGCCATGATCACACCACTGCATTCCAGCCTGGTGACAGAGTGAGACCCTCTCCCTCCTAAAAAAAAAAAAAAAAAAAAAAAAAAAAAAAAAATTCCGAAACCTGCACCGGATAAGCATGTGCGCCAGATCAGAAAAAAAAAAAAAAAAAAAAAAAAAAAAAATTAGGAAATATATTGATGCCTGGCTCCCTTGGTCAGAATTTTGATTTAAGGTATTGGGAGTGTAGCACAGATGTTAGAATAAACCTCTCAAACAGATTTTAATGTACAACCAAGGTTGAGAACCACCAAGGAAGAGTTTTCATGCATAAAAATTCCTATACTCTATCCTAGAACCAATACATCTGCATCTCTGGGAATGGAGTATAAGAATCTGATTTGAAAAGGTTTCCTTAGTAATTCTAAGAACTGACCATTTTAGACACTGCTTTGTTAGAGTAAAATGGTTAGGTACCTAGTATCAACCTAGCCATCCAACCTTATATTAATAACTAGGAAAATAAAGGGTTGGAGCCTCCGTATTTCTTTGTTGAAAAATCTGCTACTATTATTAGTTCTATGAAAACAATTCAAAATTTGGTTATTATCATCTTAAAAGTACAAAACCTATAGATATTGAAATTGTAATTATTTTTCTATAGGCACAGTTAAAATGATTTTGTAAATGTTATAAATCAGTTTCTTTATAAGCTGTTATTTAGATAAATTTTGTTATACTGACATGATTCACTAATTTTCTAAATATAAATGGTTCAGCTTTCAGTTATTTTTAAACTAATGAACTGTGTTATACTTATTATTTTTAATGGGCTTTTGTGATGTTTTAGGTTTCTTTTGAATCCGGTGTGTCCTTCAAGTGCTTTCCAACTTTGAGAGGAAGAAATTGACCACCTGGACTATGGAACTGTGCGTAACAGCTTTGAAAGTGTATTTAAAAATTAAATTGATATGCCTTTAAATCAGTGAATTGGAAATATATTACATGTATTTTAATGTCTTTCCTCAAATATAATAAATTGTTTTCTTTCCAATAAAATGGTGTTTGTATTTTTTATCTGGCTTAACACATCTAGGAAAACATAGTATTATAAAAATATATAAAATTTATATTTTTTTTATGATTACAAATACTGCCTTTAAAAATTAAAAGGCAGTATTTGTAATTACCTGGATACCAGTGCACTTTCACATTTTTTTTATTGCAGTCTTGTTTTTGTAATTATTTTTTATTTGTCTGGCTTTGAGTTTTATTGGACTTTTGGTTTTTCGGAAGCAGGCGATTTATCCCAGTTTAGAAAATTTGTATCCTTGCCATAATACAGTCTTCCATTTTTGTACCCCCAAATCTTTCATCTGTCAGAACATCACTCAAAGGTGAAAATGTTTCCCATGTAAAATTATTCTGTTCCTTTAATGAAATTAGTTTCAGCTGTATATACGTAGGAAAACATTCTTTTTTTAATTTGATTTATTCTTACAGATACTTTCCTGAGTCTGTGATTACACTGTACCTTAGAGGCACTGCCCAAAATCAGCTCTTCTGTAAAAATGCTGTTGTGAATCATAGCTTCTTACCTTTTACAGCATTGTAAGGTAGAGAGAGTAAGAACATTAGAGACAGGAATGAGAAGGATGGAGAAGTGAACCCTGGAGCATCCAAATGGGGAGATATCAAATAGTTAAAGAACTGTTAAAGAAGACAAGGAGGAATAACTAGAAGTTAAATGAAGAAAGTATCTCAAATAGGAAGGAGTAATCAAATATATTAGCTCTCTTGATGAGTTAGGAAAGATGAGTTCTTAGAGTTAAGCATTGGGTAGAGCAACATTTGGGACCTTGATGTTGACAAACTTGGTGGATGTCAGGAGTAAGAGGAGGTAGTCAAGAGAATGTTGGAGAGGAATTTAATATAGTGAGTATTGAAGACAACTCTTGAGGAGTCTCGCTTTCAAAGGGATGTGAGAAATGGGTTGTTAATGGAGGGTAATGTAATATCCAAACACTGTTTATTTTAAGATCGATGATATAGCAGGTTTGTATGCTAATGGGACTGATTCAGTAGAGAGGAAAAAAACATAATGCAGGAAAGAGAGGGATATTGCTGAATTCATAGATCTGGTATACAAATAGAAGGGTTAGTTTTAAAGGTAGGCACATAAACAGCTCATTAGTAACAGTAGGATAAAGGGCAGATTATAGAGTTCTAGATGTTTGTTGTTCAGTAGATAGGAGTAGCATGTCAAATTTTTGTTATATTTTCTCAGTGAACTAGGAAACAAGGTCAAAAAGAGGGAGGAAGTCATGAAGGATTAAGGAAGATAAAGGAGATGTAAAATGGATAGCCAGGAATGCAGGAAAGTAAACAAACTCTTAGGCAGTCTGTGGTTTATTTAAGTGGTATCAGTCAACGTGGTTTTGTGTTTTTCTCCAGTTGAGTTCAGCATTGGTGCTGTCACTGTATAAGTACAGAATTCAGTTTAAAGTTGAGATTTCCTTAGGTGAGTAAGACGGTCAGTAATGAGATGTTGTTACATTTAAGATAATGACTATAAAAGAGGGATATGGAAAGTAATCTGGGTTAAGGAATGAAGTGAGAAAATAATGTTGAGACACTGGAAAATCGTATAATCAATTGTAGATTGCAGTGTGGCTGAAGATGCATTGGAGTTCTTGAGGTAGGAACTAGAAATTTGGGAGATTTAAATAAGAGTGGGGTGACTGAAATTGAAAATATTAGAGTATAGTACTTAGTGATTATAAGTTTTAGGATGTGAAAATGGGAGTAGCTTAGAGGCAAGGTGATGATGGAAGGAGATGAATTCAAGAAATTGAGAACCTAGGAGACTGAAAGGTTATGTAAATGAATTTTGAAATCTCAACAAGAACTGTGCTGAGTGCTTGTAGTAATTATTTTATCTTTACTACCCTGTGAGAAGACAGCACTTCCTTTTGTGAGTAATCAAAAGTTCTTTAATGTGTCAAGTGTAAGATACTTTATTACATTTAATTATCTTTAGTAGTGCATACTAAAAAATAATGACCTCAGTAGGATTATTCAGTAGATATGTGAGCTAACCCCCTGGGTCAGACACTTAATTTAGGGGTAGAGCTGATGGTTTTCAAGAGGAATAGAAAGTTCTCACCCCTAGTGCTTAAGCTGCTAAATATCTCGCCTTATATTTTCTGAAAACAAATGGTATATAGAGCATCCACATAAAAGCTAATAGGAAATCTTAAAACACACACACACACGCACACACACACACAAACAAAACATTGAAAAACATATACCCTGTACCCAACATGTACAAGGTCTAAGCAATGAAGAAAAAGGTAGGAAATTAAATAAGACTAAAACATCTATGACTAATGTATAAAGACTTGAGGCGGTTGTATCCATTTAAAAGGTATCAATTAGAAATGAAAAAGGACGCCAGGCGCAGTGGCTCACGCCTGTAATCCCAGCACTTTGGGAGGCCCACGCAGGCAGATCAACGTCAAGTCAGGAGTTTGAGACCAGCCTGGCCAACACAGTGGGACCCTGTCTCTACTTAAAATACAAAAAAAATTTCTGGGCATGGTGGCTCATGTCTGTGGTCCCAGCTACTCGGGAGGCTGAGGCAAGAGAATCATTTGAACCCGGAGGGGGAGGTTGCAGTGAGCCGAAATTGTGCCACTGTACTCTAGCCTGGGTGATAGAGTAGGATTAAAAAATACATATATATGTATATGTATGTATATATGTACATATATATATATGTATATATGTATATATATATTTATATTTTTATATGTATATGTATATATATTTTTTACATAAGAAAATTTATTTTAATTTTTTGTAAAATATAAAATAGGACTTAATATGGTATTTATATACCAGGATCTTTGAATATCCAAAAGTTTAAGAAGATGTGAGCAATTTTATGAAACTTTTCAAAGCTTAGAAAAAGGTAACTACTTAAAAGACTATTATATGTTGTTTAAGGAAATGTTAGATGAAGTAAGTCACAAAAACATGCATAGAAATGATCATATAAACTCAGAAGAAATTGAATGTCTTGCTGTCGAAGGAAAGGATAGAGGTGTAAGAGACTGAAGTTGAGTGTGAGAAGCTCTGTATATATTGTATTTTTCTTTTAAAATATATATATTTAAATTCGCATTTCTTGTTTTTCAAATGTTCACTCCAATGAAAATTCTTTTATTTTTCCTGTTTATTTCTGATCTCATATATGCAGTATACTATTTTTCACTAATATTAGTGATCCTCCCTGCAAATGAAATACTCTCATCCTGTTGAATTTGGGAATGTCCATGTGATTTGCTTTGGCTGTGAAATGTGAGCAGAAATAATGTTTTACTTTGGGAACTTCCCGACTGCTAAAGCATGTGTCAAAATGAAGTTTTTGTGACATTACAAAAGGACTAATAGAATGCCTTTGTTGATCCTAGTTGAACATGAGAAACTTGGTTATTGTAAGCCATTGAAAAATTTTAGTTTCGTTTATTACTGCAGAATAACCTATTCTGTCCTGATTGATACAGCCACAAAATTTCCTTAAGCTCTTTGATTTTCATATTTCCGTTAGGATGTGGAAAGCCAAGAGAAGAATAAACATAGGATCAAAGAATGTTAACAGTGAAAGGGACTATTGGAATAAATTTGTTCAATGGTTTCCAGACTTTGGGTTCTAAGTAATCAATAATATTTCCAAAAAAAAGTATTAAAAGATATTTCAATGTAAAAAATAATGGCATTTAACTTTGTAAACAACAACAAAAATACCATTGCGGGGCATAATAGGTCATGCTTGTAATCCCAACAACTTGGGAGACTGAGGAGGGAGGATCACTTAAGCCCAGGAATTTGAGGCTGCAGTGAACCATGATTGCGTCTCTGCACTCCAGCTTGGGTGACATAGGGAGACTTCAGCTAAAAAAAAAAAAAAGTTGTAATTAATACATTGTTCCTCTGTCTCTTTTCCCATCCTCCTTACCACTTGGTCTTTAATCTTATTAAGCAAGATCTAAGGATAAGACAAGAAAAAGGATGGTTGCATCTATACTGAACATGTATTGACTTTTTTTTTGGTCATTTTCTAAACAACATAATATAACAACATTTGACATAGCATTTACGTTGCATTAGTTATTATAAGTAATCTGAGATGATGTAAAAGTTATATGCAAATACTACATTTTATATAAAGGACTCGAGCAGTTAAAAGTATCCATGGGGAGTCCTGGAACCAATTCCTCATGGATATGGAGGGACGAGGAACCACTGTAGTTAAACAAATAATCACTTTAAAAATTAAAACCTTTTGCATGGTGAATACAGTCATGCACTGTATATATGATGGTGATCCAGTTAAGTTTATTATGCCACATTTTTATCGAAAGTTTCCTATGTTTAAATATATTTAGATGCACCAGTACATTGTGTTACAGTTGCCTATAGTATCCAGTGCAATAACATGCTTTACAGGTTTGTAGCCTAGGAGGAATAGGCTATGCCATGTAGGTTTATGGAAGTCCAATCTATGACATTTGCACAGTGGCTTAATTACCTAAAGACTTACTCTTCAGAACATACTCCTGTCATTAAGCAATGCATGACTGTAGTTGGACAAAAAATAATAATGCAGGCATACCTTTGGCACTGTCCTAATTCTTACCAGCATCCATGATTACTTAATTTTGCAATAGAAAGACTTCAAAAAACAACAGTGATCTATTAGGACAATATATTTGCAATACATGACAAATGATGATAACATAAGAACTCCAAACATTCAATAAGAAAAAAAAAATAAAGCAAAACTAGATGGGAAAAGGAAGAAGCAAATTTCGAAAGAAAACTCAATAGGCAAAAAAAAAAAATGTGAAATGATGTTCAGCCT